CAAGCCAAGAGGAACCTAAGGAAACATGACAACTAAATGTAAAGTGGTATTGTGGGTGGGATCCTGGAACAGAAAAAGGACATTAGGTAAAAACTAAGGAAATATGAATAAAGAATGGATTTTAGTTCATTATAGGTATCAATATTGGTTCATTAATTGTGACCAATGTACCATACCAACGTAAAATGTTAATAACTAGGTGTAGGGTATATAAGAATTCTCTGCACTATCTTCTCAGTTTTTCTATAAATCTAAAGCATTCTAAAAACTAAAGCCATAAAATTGTATTCTAACTCAAAAAAAAAATGTAATGATCCATTTGATATCAATAATTGAATGAACTGTAAACATAGGTAGCTTTGGTTACCTTCTAGTTCAAACAGGTCTTGCCATGTGGCTCCTGGTTTTGTTTTGTTTTTTAATGTTTTATTGTTAAATATGTTATACAGATAAAAACAATGTGCCAAAACTAATGGAATGCAGCTAACGCACAGATCACAAGGAAAATTATAGCTGTAAATCATTACATTAAAAAAGAAAAAGCTTTCATGGGACATCCTAGTTAATTGACCTAATATTGTGTTTAGTGTTTCTGTTCTACCTCCTAGCTCATTGCATAGTGCCTGGGATCTTAAAAGCTTACAAGAGGCCATCCAAGTCACAATAATTGGTCTCTATTCTGTTGGAGCAACAGAGGAAAGAGAGTCAAGATAAGGAGGAGGAAAAGGAATGCATGGCTAGTTGCCTGCACGAACAACTACCTCCTTTGCTCATGAGACCAGAAGAACTGGATGGTGCCCAGCTACAATTACTAAATGTTTTGATCGAAGATTCTATAGAAGAATCCTAATCAAAAGGAGTATTTGAACAGAATTTCAAATTCTTATGGAATCCAGACTTTCAGGAACCATTGAGGCTGTATGAACCCCTGAAAATATTGTCCTGAAATAATCTTAAACCTTAAACCAAAAATATACCCTGAGGTCTTCTTTAAACCAAGCAATTTTTATTGTTAGGTTCTGTTGAGTAAGTTTCAACTCATAGCAGCCCTATGTACAACAGAATGAAACACTGCCCAGTCCTGCACCGTTCTCACAATTGTTGCTATGTTTGAGCCCGTTGTTGCAGCCAAGTGTCAATCCATTTCATTGAGTGTCTTCCTCTTTTTTGCTGACCCTGTACTTTAACAAGCATGATGTCCTTTTCCAGGGACTGGTCCCTGCAGATAATATGTCCAAAGTACATGAGCAAAGTCTCACTATCCTCACTTCTAAGGAGCATTCTGGCTATACTTTTTCCAAGACAGATTTGTTCATTCTTATACCAGTCAATATTCTTCACCAATACCATAATTCAGTGGTTTAGCTTAATTAAAAAAGAATGTTTGTCCTGAGCATTGTGCTCTTTTAAAGAACTGTCTGTATGGGATGAAACTGACAATAGTAACTCGAAAGGTTAGATAGGAAGCTTAGGGGTAGTGAGTTTATATTAATGGGGAAGAAACAATTTGGAAAAGAAAGGAGTGAATGATTGCACAACTTGAATGTAATCAATGTCACTGAATAATACATGTAGATATTGTTGAATTGGTGTATGTTCTGCTATGTATGGAGCCCTGGTAGTGCAGCGGTTAAGAGCTCAGCTACTAACCAGAAGGTCAGCAGTTCGAATCCACCAGGCACTCCTTGGAAACCCTATGGGGCAGTTCTACTCTGTCCTATGGAGTTGCTATGAGTCAGAATCAACTCAGTGGCAATGGGTTTTTTGGCCGGCTGCGTATATTTTTAACAACAACAAAAATAATAAAGTAAATTATTAATAAAAAAGGAAAAAAGATGTTAAATCCATAACCTAAACTTCCACCTTAAAAAAGGGTAATCTAAACCCAAAACAAGCTGAAGGAAGGAAATAATGAAAATTAGAGCAATAATAAATGAAATAGAGAATAGAAAAATGATAGAGGAAATCAACAAAACCAAAACTGGCTCTTTGAAAAGATCAACAAAATTGGAAATCTTTAGCTAGACTGACAATTCCATTTACAATAGCATCTAAGGGAATAAAATACCTAGGAGTAAATTTAATCAGAAACCATACATCTGATAAGGATTCTATATCCAAAATATATGAAGAACTCCAACAACTCAACCAAATAAGATACACAACCCAATTTAAAAACGGGGAATGGATTTGAATGGATATTTATCCAAAAAAGATATACAAATGATCAATGAGCACATGAAAAGATTCTCAGTATCATTAGTCATTGTTGTTGTGTGCTATCAAGTTGATTCCAACTCATAATGACCCTATAGGACAGAGTAGAACTGGCTCATAGGGTTTCCCAGGCTGTAATCTTTACTGGAGCAAATTGCCAGGTCTTTCCTCTGGAGGAGTGGCTGGTGGGTTTGAACTGCCAACCTTTCGGTTAGCAGCTGAGTGCTTAACCAATTATGCCACCAGGTGTTCCTCATCAGTCATTAGGGAAATGCAAATCAAAATCACAAAGAACTACACGTCACACCCACTAGTTTTTTGTTGTGTGCCATTATGATAGCAATTATTAAAAAAAAAAAAAAAAAAAAAACCTGTAAACTAACAAGTGTTGGTGAGGATGTGGAGAAATTGAAACCCTCATGCGCTGCTGGTTGTAAAATGGTATAGCTGCTATGGAAAACACTTTGGTATTTCCTCAAAATGTTAAAAATAGAATTACCATATAACCCAGCAATTCCACTGCTAGGTATATATACAAAAAACTTGAAAGCAATAACTCAGATACTTGTACACCAATGTTCATTGCAGCATTATGCACAAAAGGTAGAAATCATATTATAATAGCAAAAAGTGTTCATTAACAGATGAATGGATAAAAAAACGTGATATATATGTATATATATATATATATACATACACATACATACAATGGAATGTTATTCAACCATGAAGAGAAATGAAAGCTTATACACTATGATATAGATGAACCTTGAAACCATTATTCTCAGTGAAATAAATCAGACACAAAAGGACAAATATTGTATGTTCCCACTGTGTATGGAATTTTTGATTCTCCTGGAATACAGACTTTATGGAGCCATAGAGGTTAAGATGACCCACCCAAAACTATTGCACTGAGGTAATCTTTGAATCTTAAACCTTGAGCAAACTGGTCTCCTGAAAACTATCTTTAAATCAAACAATAGTGTAACTTAGTGAAGAATGTTTGCCTTGAGCATTGTGTTCTTTTAAAGAATTATTTACATTCAGTCAGTTTTGATAACTGCAATTCCAAAGGTCAGAATAGAAGCTATCTTTGAAGGGATAATTATTTGAATTGTTCTTTAAGAAAATGTTGTATGGAATCCTGCATGTCCACAAGTTATTCTGTAAACTTTATTTTGGCCCTGTTTCCATGGCAATGCGTGATTACTAGCAATAAGCTGGTGTATAAGAATCTGTGAAGAGTCTTTGGAACATTTTTGACTCTCTAGTCAGAAATATTGCCCCAATTTACAAATTGTATTTTAAATAACCTTCGATCAATTTCTATTATTGGCTTAATATTGGTTTTAACACCACTTATATGAAGTATCTAGATTAGGCAAATAAATAGCAATAAAAGTTCATCAGTGGTAAGTAGGGACTGAAGGTAGGGGGCAATGGCGAGTTATTGCTTAAGGAGTACTGAGTTTCTGTTTGGGGTGATGTAAAACTTTTGGAAATAGTGGCAATGGTAACACAACATGGTAAATATAATTAACGCCACTAAAACGTACACCTAAAAATGATTACAGAGGCAAACTTTTGGTTATATATATTTTTACCACAATAAAATGTTTTTAGAAAGAAAAAAAATATTAAAATGGAACTTTTTGTTTTTTATGTATTTTGGATTACAGTAATAAAAAAAAAAAGATGAGTCTTGATAATCAAAAAAAGTTTCTATTCTTGTCCTTACAGGATGTTTGAAGATAGTTTTGGCACAATCCTTGTTTAAGTCCGAATTATCTAATAAGGAGTGTCAAAAACCTAAATGCTTAGAGAAACTCCAAAAACTGGTGTAACAGAATATGTTTATTATGAGTAGATACGATTCGAATCAGGCAGCGTCAACCCAAGTATAGGGAGGGCGTTCTGAAGAGGTGACAGTGAAAGCAGATTATATAGGTCACTGTTAGGTTAATGGAGACCTGGTGGCACAGTGGTTAAGCACTGGGCTGCTAACCAAAAGGTGGGGTGTTCTAATCCACCAGCCGCTCCGTGGAAACCCTGTGGGGCAGTTCTACTCTGTCCTATACTGTAGCTATGAGTCGGAATTGACTGGAAGGCAATGGGTTGCTATGTTAATCTCTCAGAAGAGAACATCAAAGCACTAGCAGGTTTTCAGGGTCCACAGGTTACAGAAACAGAATCACCAAGGATATGGTATGCATTTAAAACACAGCCTCTAGTCAAACCCTGGAGTTCCTGCTTCTGAAGGCTGGTTACACATAGATAATTTTCCAAAAGAATCCAATGCCTAAGGCAAAACACTGTCTGCTAAACTGCTTACTAAGTTATTGTTTGACCTGAAAGTGACTCCAGGGAACCAGTTCTTTCAAGGTTCAAAAGGATACCTAAGGGTGGATGGCCTGGATGGGTCACCCCAATTCCATGAATCTAGAAATCTGGATTCCAGGAGAATCAAAACAATTTTGTCAGGAGAAAAAATAGAAGAGTAGATTAAAAAGAAAAATTTAGAGTAAAAGTCCAATTTTACATTTTCATCAAAAGAATGTACTTTCTAGACGGGAAGCTGAGTCATACATCATGCTGGAAAGATATGAAAAGGAGCCTCCAGAGTTCCATTAGCACCTATTTTCACATACTTCCTGAATTTTCTCTTAGATACTCTCCTCAAGATAGATCCATGCCCTCTGGACAAGATATGATAAGAGACCAGATGGGTTAAAAAGTTACATGTAAGAATAATCCCCTTTTGCTCTCTCCTGGGACTTTAGGTAAGAACATAAAAACTCAACCATCCCTGAGCACGATGAGCAGGGAAGAACTGGAGGACAGTTTCTTACGACTTCATGACAAGCACATGATGGTGAAGGCGTTTTCTTGGAAGCAACAGGATGAGATCAAAAGGTACCTCAAGTTCTTGTCTTTGAAAGCTGCGTCTATACCAGGCGTACACCACACTGAATAAAAAGGAATATATTTTGCTGAGATATCTATGCCAGAGAATTAATCAAATTTCAAGGATGTTTGGCTCCAAAAATAATATTTGAAGTAGTCCAAAAATAATTTTTTTACTCTGTTTTCCTGTCAAACATATCGGTAGACTGTGGCCACAAAGCATCAAGAACCTGGGTTGTACTGTTTCAACCCACAGAGCAGGAGACTGGGCAATCATGCTGAACCCCTTCTTTCCTTTGGTTCCTGCCCTGGTCACAAAGAAAGGGGAGGTCAGAGCAGGAATGGTCAAAATATCAGAGGAAGGAAGGGTGTAGAGGCAAGTAGCTGTTAGGTGCCCTCAACCTTTATTTACAAAACAAAATTCATATTGTTTACCATGTGCAGGCACGTTGTAAGTACTTTATATGTATTAACTAATTTAATATTATAAATACTGTTAACTCACTTAATACTATGAAGGAGGTATTATTAAGAGGAAAAGGAGGCACAGAAAAGTTAATTTGCCCAAGGTCACAGCAAAGCTGAAAGCTATTAACATGGAAATCTACTTTGTATAGTGACCTTAGGTTATTGGCTTTCGAAAGGCCATCTGCATCAGAATCACCTGGTGGGCTTGTTAAAATGGTAATTCCTGACTCCACCACAGTCCTATTGAAGCTGGATCTCTTGGGTGGGGACCTAAGTCTTCAGGAATTGGGGAGGGTGTGGAGAGAGTGGGGGAGGTGGGGGGGAAACTGGAGGAGAGAGGAATCTGAGATGGGGAGGAGGGGTAAACAAACAGATGGGGAGAACGGGAGTTCTGAAAGCCCGAGGTCTGTCTCTAGAACACATTTTGAAGATGTTGGTGCCAGTGCCCACCAGGAACAAACCTGTAGCTGAACAAATTGGATTTATTAGCTGTTGCCTCCGAGTGGTTCATTTAGAATCTGTAAGACTGCAGGCTTCTACTGTAGGCCAGTGTACTTCAGAGTTGGTGATCGTTTTGTATTGTGGAGAACTCGAGAATCTGGTAAAGTCAGAAGTTTGCACGGGACTAAAAAACTTTGCTTATTGGTTGATAACCATAAACTACTTGAAATTATGGATGTTAAATGGCTAAAGTAGTCTATTCTCTTGCTCCCGCGGCACCTAGCCTTGCACCCACATGGAGGCAGACAGCTACACACCAGAAACTCAAGAGGCGTGAGGCACTGGGCCAATCATGGTTTGCTATCAAGGCACCATCATTGTTCTAAGCACTTTACACGTGTTAACGTATTTAATCCTCACAACCACCTTAAGGAGGCCGACATTATTATTATAATTTTCATTTATAAATGAGGAAATTGCAGCCCAGAAAGGTTAACATGCTCATGGTCACACAGTAAATGTCAGAACAGGCAGGCAGTGGGACCACAGAAACTAATTGTAAAGGTAAAAAGCATGACTTTAGGTCCAAGTAAGGAGCCCTGGTGGTGCAGTGGTTAAAGCGCTCGGCTGCTAACCAAAAGCTCCGCAGCTGGAAACCACCAGCTGCCCACGGGAAAGAGATGTGGCAGTCTGCTTCCCTAAAGATTTACAGCCTTGGAAATCCTGCGGGGCAGTTCTACTCTGTCCTACTGTGTCACTATGAGTCGGAATCGACTTGATGGCAGTGAGTTTTTTGGTCTAGGTCAAGAAAACAAAGAGTATCCACTATAGGTAAGGTTCAGTGTATGCTAGGTGCTATAGAGGAGTAATCTTTAAAGTTGGGCAAGTACACAGTTGTCTGGAAGACAATCATTGGGATGGGAGAAATAAATATTGAAATTTCTACTTGTATTTATTTATCTCCCCCTTAAAAATTAGTATTTTTATTTGTTTCATAATATCCATAATTTATTAGTACAGAAGGAAATGTATATCATCCAAAAATAAGTAGACACATAAATATATTCGGGGAGTGCCCTAACATTTTTTACTGAGATGAGTGTGTGCTTACTGCAATCTGTTGGACAAAGAGGTGCACCACAACGTCCCTGCCCTCAAAGAGTTACAGTGTATTGGAATCAGAAAGTTAATTTTTTAAGAGTAAATAATGGGCCACAGTAGGTCAATTCATGACGACTGCCGCCAAATAAACTGTAGAAATAATAACTGTCATAGAAGGAGAAGCCACGTGCCGCTGTCTTTATTTTTGCCCATCGGATGAGAACGGCCTTGCTCCGGTTGACCGCTGTTGATGGTGACCTGCGGGCCCAGGCGGCGGCGGCGCAGCTCCCAGAACCCGCAAGGCGGCGGCGGAACGCGGAGTGGCTGCAGCGCCCCGCGACACAGCAACGCCCCCGGATGCCCGGGCTGCAGCGGCAGGTCCAGCGGGCCCGACTGTCTTCTCCCAGACGCGACCACGTGGCGCGCAGACAGCTCCACACTGCTGGAGCGCTGGTGCCAGAGAAACCCAAGACAGGTGAGGGACGGGGCCGTGTCCTCAGGCCTTAACCACTGGGAAGGATTGATTTGCCTGTCACAATTTCCTTGCTGCTTTATTCCCCTCATCACCCCATTTGGTTCTTTTGTTTCCAGTCCCTCCTTCCTACCTCCCTAAAACATTTTTTCCTGAGAGGGGTATCAGGTTCAAAATTCTCAATTCACCATGGAGTACCGCTGAGAAAGGGAGAACCGGACAACGAGAAACAGGGACTTTGCTGGTGGAGTTTGTAGTGGGTCAGAAAAAAACACAGAGATAACATTTATTCCTGCTCAGACGTGAGGGAAGTGATCCAAGTCGGGTCTTCCCACTGCACGTCTGGGTTAGGTGGCTGCGGAGCCAGGATTTCTAGTACAACGATGCCTCTAAAGCTGGGGTTCTTAACCTTTGGGGGGAGCTTTAGGGGGGTATGAACTGCCTTGAAACCTCGTCAAATTTAAGGCCCCCTCCCAAGAAAAAAATGCACATACACATACATAAAACTTTACATACAATTTCATGGGTTCAAAGATTCCCAAAATCCATCCCTGAAGTCCAGGCCTAGAAACCAGGCTGTAAATCACTAAGAGTTGCAAGAGCCTGAGGTCTTTCTTTCTCTGGCTGCTATGAAACCCTATGTTGAGTGTCCAGGGTAAAAACACCTCATTCCAATGGACCTAAACTGAGGACTAGTAGCCTAGGTGAAGGAAATCTATACCTAGCATTTAATGTAAATACACTTAATTTACTAACAAATACTCATTTGGTTTGTTAATATGGTCTTATATTTTCAAGCCCCCTACTCCGGCCAACCAAACCTTTGCTAAAACTAGAAAAATTAAATGAGTCTAAATTCCAGTTCAGTGTTATTGAGCACCTATTATGTACCAGGAGCTAGAGATAAAAATGCATTAGGGCTAGACACACAGTCCCTGACCTGGACAAGCTTGAACCTTTCTTGTCTTCTTCCCGTTCTCACCGACTTGAGAGTCTGTAATCCCACTGATTTATTAATGCTGTAGTTGCAGCTCTGTGCAAGAGTAAAGATGGAGAACCTCTCCTCTGGGATCAGTCGTCATAAAAGGATTTCCCCCAGGTCTCAGGACTCCCTAGTTCCAGCATTTGGGGTTCCAGTTCTAGCATTTGGTGTTCTGGAGGATTCTGTTGCCAGAGTCTCGATCTTCTGCCTAAATTTCAGGGCCAAGAGAGAGGCTGAGCTACACAGCCCCTCCCACATTCAAGGAGCATGTGACAAATGAAAAAACCGGAGCTGAAATATCCTGTGAACCCAGCAAACTGTAAGTTCTTTTCATTTGTCCTGTGTGCACTGTAACTCCTGCAACTTTAATTGGAAACACATCATTTAGGAAACAAGTGAGTGTTGACACTTTAGAGTCTTTCTAGCATGATCAGAGAAGATGAAGATCACTCCTAGATCAAATTCAACCTCATTGCTTAAAAATGGAAAACAAGTATCTCTCTGGCCTCAGAGGAAAGAAAAATAAAGTCTCTTACCTTAATTGAAGGCATTTCCTCTATTTTTCTTTATATTTTTATCCTTTGGATCATAATTCATTTATACTTCTGTTTGACACTTGGAATCCATATTTCATAAGATTATCCTCCATGCATACTAACTCCTCTACCTTCTTTTTATGTATGTGAAAGCCCAATTCTAAACCCCAATAACACTGCAGTTTCTATTTCTCCTTTCTATGTTTAATGTTTCTAATTCTAACAGTACAATTTCTTTCAACAAAGCCATAATTACAACTAAACTCACTGGCCTATGCATGTGTGCCTAACAGTGCCCACGTTATGACCAGCGATACTATGCAAGTGGAAGAACCACCCAAGTCTCCTGAAAAAATGTGGTCCAAAGATGAAGATTTTGAACAGAGAAGCTCACTGGAGCATGCTCAGAAGGCCACAGAGCTTCGGTAAGAGTGGCATCCTGTGCCTCAAACCACAATGAACTAAGGGAGTAAGAGATTCTTGTTTGCACTTTTCTCTATCTCAGTGGAAAAGAGAATGTTTGGGATTAAGTTCAATCTGAGGAGTAGACCTGGAGTCCCTAGTGGGTTAAGAAATGGGTTAATCTAAAGGGGATATTTCTGTGTAATAGAAGATTTGCTGATTCACTTCATACAAGGTGAACTACTTTATCCTCATCACCAGATAGGGGTTCTCAGCCCTCAATGTGCATCAGTCACTGGGGAAATTTTAGAACCACAGATGTCTGGGCCCCATCCCAGCAATTACCTTTCAATTATTTGGGGGTGGAATTCAGGTGATGTAATTTTCCAGCTATCTTCAGGTGATTCTAATGAGCATGTAGGACTGGGAATCACTGAGCTAGAGTGCAAGGAGCCCAAATCCTCCCCCAATACCTTTCAAAAGATAAAGAAAAAATGATCTCCTAGGTTCAGAAATTATAATCCTCTTTTGTGTCCTCCATCCCTACCCATGCCTCTCAGGTTTCTCTAAGGAAGCGAGGCTCAGACCCAGGTGAATTTAGCAAGGTTTATGGGAAACTGTGAGCACCATAATTGAAAAGTAGCTATTATGTTTTCTCAGAACAGAGTTTAAGGTTGATGATCTATCAAATCTCAGCTGGTGTGATAGGAAATGGGAGAGAGGAGATTATTTACCAGCGTGTACATACACTCCCTAGTTCTGGTGTATTGTGGGGGAGATGGGAAGGGAAGAGGGAGATGTCCTTATTGGTGCAGAGTGGAGGGGAAAGGGGCTTAACTCTGTACTTTCGCAGACAGAGTATTTTAGCAACTTCTTTCTGCAGAGCTTCCATTAGGGAGAATATAGAGCTGATTCGACTTAAGAAGCTCTTACATGAAAAGAATGTCTCACTGGTAGCAACAAAAACTCAACTAACAGAAGTTCAAGAGGTGAGTTGCCATCATTAGCTGTGCTTTCTTGGAGGGAGGAAAACCCAGTTAGTTAGGAGATTAGTGTTATTTGCTCCATTTTACATATGGGAAACCATAATTCAGAGAGACTGAGTTACTTGTCCAAGGTCACACAACTTTAGGTAATATTCAAATCCAAGCCTTGCAACTCAGAGCCTGTTCTTTCCCATTATGTCCCATGATTTCTCTATTAGGAAGAAGGCTCAAGCCCTGCCCACTAAAGTGGAATTAAGTGGAGTTAACGCATGTCAGGTTAAGGTCCCAACCAAGGACCACAATCAGAATATAAAGAAATTGGGAAGCCAAGAGCAACAACAGGGGAAGGGAAGGGAAGGGAACCAGCATGTACTGAGCATTTTCTATTGCTGGACTCTGTCCTAGATATTTTACATTCCTGATCTCATTTAAACCTGACAACAGACCTCAAGGTAAATACATTTAACAGATGTGGGAACTGAGCCTCAAAGAAGTTAAGTAACTTTCTCAAGCCATAAAATAGTCAAGGGCAGAGCAGGATTTGAGTCCAGGTTTATCCAGCACCAAGGCTCCTGCTCTTTCGTTGTTACCAACACAGTGGAAACCCATATCAGGATGGTGGAAATAGGGCATCAAAGGTCTAAGCTGTAAGTCAGCACCATTCTTCTTTTTTTTCGAATAAATATTTATTGAGTGTCAGGAACTGTGCAAAGCACTGGGACAGAAAGAGTACAAAGATAAGATAGTTCCTGCCTTCAAGGAACTTACAGGAACGAGAGGACAACTTAAAAATAGGTACCAATACCAGTTGCCATCAAGTTGATTCTGACTCATGGTGACCCCATGGGTGTCAGAGTAGAACTGTACTCCATAGGGTCTTCAGTGGCTGATAGCTCAGAAGTAGATCACCAGGCCTTTCTTTGAAGGCACCTTTGGGTGGACTTGAACCTCTAACCTTTTAGTTAGCAGCCAAGGTCATTAACTGTTTATACTACCCAGGAACTTCCAGTAAATTATAGATTATCTGTATTTTTCTGAATTTTTCAAATTTCTAAAAAAATCACAAAACCACAAGGAAAGATCATTCTGGAAGGAGAATGAATGATAGGTTGGCTGAGTCGAGACTGGAGGCAGAGAGATCAGGAAGAAGATTACTGCAGTGGTCCAAGAGAGAGAAGATAAGGGCCCCAACTAAGCCTGTGACAAGGACCTGGAGAGAAAGGGACCATAATGAGAGATGTCCAGAAAGTAGAAACACAGACTTGGTCACCAAAGGGGAGTATGGTGAGGGAAAATGAGAAATGAAAGAAGACTCCTGGGTTTCTGGCTTGGATGATTAGATGATAGTGGTGCCATTCACTGATACTGGATCTGGCTACAGTTAGCACTGCCCTCCATGTATCTGTTCTGATAAGAGTTAAAGGCGTCTTTACAAGGCCAACCTCCAAGCCTGTGTCTTTTAGAGAACTGTGCGTATGCTTGTATTCTTGTAATTTTGGTAACACTTAAAGAATGTGGAAATATGAGAAGGAAGGTAAATTAAAGTTGTATTAGTAAATGGCTCTTTTTGTGGAATTAGATTTTTTAAAAATTTATGTCTCCATTGCATTACAGGTAAAAAGTAGGAAAGTCACTCTAAATGAAATTTCCTTACCTATATTAATGGCAGGAAACAGTAGTAGAGATGATCTAAGATGGTAATCACCTATGATTTTTTTTTAATGTAGGATACGCAATTTGTGTTTCTTTAGCAATTTACCTTTCTAGTTATGCTTTCTTACACATATACTAAAGTGAGTTTGCATTCCCGTAATCCCTTAGTAGTAAAATATGGTGGTCAATAGCACAGGCTCTGGGGTCATACAGGCTGAGTTAACGTTCTGCCTCCAGGGGCTGTCTACGGAAAGTAGCATCTATGGCAATTAGTTTTAAATTGCTGAATGATCTCTCACAGCTGGTGATGGACACTGTGATGCCCAACAGAAACTGCTCATTAGTGCCCCCTCCTCCAGTGGTGCTCAGGGCACATGCCCTACCTACCATACCTTAGTTTTGCTTCTTGGTAGCTATTCTCAGCAAGTGACTTAGCTCTCTGAGCTTCTTTTCTCATTTTCAAAGTTTAGATAATAATATCTACCTCTCAGATTTGCTGTAAGGATTAAATGAGGTAATGTATGTGAAACGATTATAATGATTATAAAGTAACTTATAATGAAACACATAGTAACATATAATGTAACACACAGTAACTGCTCAACAAATGGTAGCTGTTGTTACGATGATTGTTGTTTCTCTTTCTAAAACTGGAGTCTTTTTTTAAATTTTATTTAAAAAATTTTTTTATCGTACTTTAGATGAAGGTTTAGAGAACAAACAGATTCTCATGAAACAGTTAGTACACATATTGTTTTATGACAATTGTTAACAACCCCACGATATGTCAACACTGTCCTTTCTCAACCTTGGGTTCCCTATTACCAGCTTTCCTGTCCTCTCCTGCCTTCTAGTCCTTGCCCGTGGACTGTTGTGCCCCATTAGTCTCGTTTTGTTTTTTGGGGCTGTCTAATCTTTGGCTGAACTGTGAACCTTGGGAGTGACTTCATTACTGAGCTGAAAGGGTATCCAGGGACCATACTCTCAGGGTTTCTGCAGTCTCTGTCAGGCCAGTAAGTCTTGTCTTTTTTGTGAGTTAGAATTTTGTTCTACACTTTTCTCTGGCTCTGTCCAGGACCCTCTGTTGTGATCCCGGTCAGAGCAGTCGGTGGTAGCCGGGCACTATCTAGCTGTACTGGACTCAGTCTGGTGGCGGCCATGGTAGTTGAGGTCATTTAGTCCTTTGGACTAATCTTGGAAAGAGTCTTTTCTGAAACATGCTGAGTAACAGATAGCACTTAGTCTGAGATTAAACATTTTTATTGTATAATCCATTAAGTGCAATGCAAATGTGAACAATTGACCATTCATCCTTTTTTTAAGAAATGATGTAATATATTACACTCACAGACTATGTGGCCAACTAGGGTAGGGGAAAAATAGTAGTAACTAGTAAACAAATACACAAATTGGTTTATGGAAATTATTTACAATGTTTTTTAAAATAAATATTTAAGCATTTATATTATAGAGATAAATAAATACCAAACGTATATATCAAATGGATAAATCAATAGAATAATACTTATTTCTCTCTTCTAGGCATATGAAACCCTGCTCCAGAAGGTACTTAATAAATCCTTGACACTCTTGGTAATTATAGTAATCAGACCTAAATAAATTCATATTCCTCTCCAAGTGACATAACATCAGAATTCAGCAGAAGAAATCAAAGTTATTATGTCGCTTTCTTTCTGTTAAGACAAATGATACTGTTATTATGAGAAGATACTCATTGCATTCTTTCCATAAAAATTGAATATGAGATCTGTGTTGAGAAATGTTTGGAATAGTGTTTTTCAGCATATTGCTTTGGAGAACTGTAGCATTTGCTTAGAAATTCCTTAGAGTATTCTTCTAGCATGTGTGAGGTGGTGCGATACAACAAAGTTGTTACAGATCTTCCCTGGTGTTGTTAAATATTTGGCCTTATTCAACCTATAATTGAGTTGTAGATGTAGAAGTAGGACTGAGTGAATGTCCATGATTGAGGGTCACTAAAGCAGAGTTCAGTTGTGATCCATAGGGTTTTCACTGGCTAATTTCAGAAGTCGATTGCCAGACCTTTCTTCCTGGTCTATTTTAGTCTGGAAGCTCTGCTAAAACCTGTCCACTATGGGTGACCCTGCTGGTATTTGAAATACGAATGGCATAGCTGCCAGCATCACAGCAACACACAAGTTACCACAGTACAACAAACTGACAGATGGGTGGTGGTAACAGAGTGCCAATGAAGATAATAGGGTGACACAACAACTGCAACAATGGACTCAGACATCATGAAGATGGCACAGAACCGGGCCACATTTTGTTCTGTTATACATAAGGTTGCCATGAGTCAGAGGTGACTCAAAGACAACTAACAGCAAAGCAACAACAAATCAGAGTTCCCGGAATAACCAGTCATAGCTGTTGCTCACCAGAGATACGATACAGTCCACCAGAGAAACAATACAGTCCACCAGAAATATAGTCACTTAACTTCTAGAGTCATCTGATCCTACATGTCATTTTCTCAGTTGCAAAGGGAGGACTATATCATCATAAAAAGCATCAAATAGCGTAGAAATTTAAGGCAGCTTTTAAAGGTGGCATCTGACTTAGAGCTAGGGCTTAACTTGAACCTTGGGAAAATCAGGCTCCAATAATGAATTACAATTGCCTAGAGTGGAAAATCATCACTTAGCAGGGAAACTATACCTCCAGAGAAATGCTAGCATGAAAAGTGCAAAGAGAATGGGATATTAATCAAAGTCATCGTTGGTGACACCTACTAACGAATGCTAGGGTTACTAGTATCTCGAGACCACCCTTTGCTGAGTGATGTGACCATTCCTAGAGTGCCCTTCCTTTTGTCCCAGAATCAGGGAATTCTGAGTGCAGCCCATGATGCTCTCCTTGGTCAAGTGAATGAGCTCAGGGCAGAGCTGAAGGAGGAAAGCAAAAAAGCTGTGAACTTGAAGACCCAACTGGAAGATGTAGCTGTCCTGCAGGTGACTCTGAAGGAGGTAAATTACCATAATAATTAAAAGATACCATCAGTTGTAAGTTACATTCCAACTTCAGAGATGTTGTGTATCTTAACAGCAATTAAATATGGGTATTTCATTTTTACAGATGAGAAAAATGAGGCTCCACATGGTTAAATAGTTCTCTCAAGATTAAGTCATTAGAGTCAAAGCTGGGATTCATAGTTAGGTCTACACTCCAAAGTCTTTGCTCTTTCAAAATGTGCTGCTTCTTCCCTAACAGTAGAAACCTAGACACTGTGAAAACTTGCATCAGAGAATCTTCATTAATTCCGCCAGAAGTTTCCACCCCACTTTCAGTTGGTTCAATTCTCTAGTTGAATGGTTCCTCGCTCTCCTCATCACAGACATGGGAGATGAGCATAGAAAAGCTCCTGTCCTATTCCCACATTGCCAGAGAAAAGGGAAAACCTGTGCAGGGCAATGGATTTTAAAGTTATCTCAGGCACTCTACTATCATTCTTAGTTTCAGGAGAGAGTTGAAGATTTGGAAAAAGAACGAAAATTGCTGAATGACAATTATGACAAACTCTTAGAAAAGTGAGTATCAAGTTTGAGTCTTAGAGCATTGTTTGCTGTAGAAGACAATTATAGAAAAATGCCTTCCCATTTTTTAAAATAATATTTGGTATTGATAAGTCTATGCAGAAAACAGTATTCAATATTGTTAGTGAAATATAAAGTAGGATAGTCTTTTTAGAATTTGACAATATCTACCAAAATGTTAAATATGCATGTCTTTTGTACTAGCAATTCCATTTTTTAAAATCAATACTAAAGAAATCCTTCTATGTATGTGCAAAGATATCTGTATAATAAGAATGTTAATTACTGCATTGTTCGTAAAAAAAAAAAGGAAACCACCCAAATTTCCACTGATAGGGGTTTGATTAAGTCATGTTGCATCCCTACAGTGAAATTCTATATAGCTGTTAGAAATGAGGTAGATCTACATGTCTAAGATATACTTATTATTAAAAGAAAAAAGCGAGTTATAAAAGAGTATGTTAATGCTGATCTAATTTATGTTATGTGCATGTATGGATACACAAACTTAATGAGGTTAGTTCTGGAGCTATGAAGAGGTTTGGAGTAGGGTAAAAGGGCATCTTCACTTTTATTTTATATACTTCTATATTATTTTAGTTTTTTACAACGAACATGTATCCATATATGTCTTTTGTAATTAAAAACATCTGGATGGTTTAAAAAATTAAAAGTGCCTTCTGATCCAGTTAAAGGCAGTAGTGGGCAGATTGGGGAAGTTGTATGAGAGTATCACGGGAACAAACGATGCACTTCAATGCAGTGAAACAAAGAGGCGTTGGGATATCTACGTGGAGGACCCCCTGGGACAAACATTACTATAGTCTTGTTCCCTTTATCACTCATAACATTGTCTTCTTGGGTCATCATGTGATGTATGGTCAGGAAGTGCCAAGCAATCTTAATACTAGCCTAAGCAAGTTCTTCTCAGACCACATTTATTAAAATGGTAAATAAGGAAAAGACATGAACAGAAATAAATGTTTGATTATCAGTGCCTCTTTATTTGTGTAAATAATCAAGAATTAGCCATGTATATTTTATACTCAGAATGGGTCTGCCTTCACAGCTAAAATACTACGGGGTCACCAAAAAAATGCTATGGGGTGCAGGGTTGTTCTTGTTACTTGCCACAAGTTGATTCTGACTCATGGTGATCCCATGTGTTACAGAGTACAATTGCTCCATAGGGTTTTCTTGGCTGTAATCTTAATGGAAGCAGATTGCCAGGCCTTTTCTTCCACAGTACCTCTGGGTGGGTTCAAACCAAAGTCAAGTGCAAACTATTTGCATCACCTAGGGACCTTGGGGTGCAGGGTAAAGTCACTGAAAAGTCTAGCTCCTGCCCTCTGGAATAGTAATTTTAATCTAGTTCAAAGGCAAATATTCTCAAAACTAGCCATTGGTGAAGGCAGATGGAGGAATGAAACAAAGAGAAGAGGAATACCTTGTTCATTATTTCTGATCTTGCAGGCCTGAGAACATCTCGGTACACAGTTCCCTGCCTAAAGAAAGCCATCCATCATGCGGGATAAGTTCCTTGGGAAATGGATATGACTTGGGGTGTTTGCTCAGCTGAATACTTGAGACTTAAACAGAAGTAATATTGAGCAACCCCTCAATAGGATCCAAAAGTTCCAAGGCAGTTGGTAAATGACAGTTACAAATAAAGCAGGGGCAGAAAAAAACATGTAGGGGAATGAGTGATGAACTAGGCCCAGGAGATGCTGAAACTGTGTAATCAAGACGTCATATCACATACCTTCAAGTGTCCATCTGACAACTCTCCCCTCCCTCCTTGCTCACTTCCCATTTTCAGCATGCTGGACAGCAGTACTCTGCCTCAATGGGGCAATGAGCTCATAGGAGAACAGCTACAGGAGAAAGTCTCTCAGTTGCAGGATCAGCTGAATGCTGAGCTGGAGGAGAAGAGAAAAATGTTACTTCAGTTGGACAGAGAAAAAGGTAGGTTGGGCCTTTAAGAGTTCTCTCAAATGTGGCATCCTCTACATCTGCTTTGGGAAAAGGGAACTTGGGCCATCATTTCCCCCATCCCTACACTTGATCCTATTCTTGATCCTATGGGTCATAGATAACTAGAATAAGAACACTGAAAATCAAATCATATTTACAATCAGGAAAACATGTAATACGTATGCTTTTCCCTGTGTAATTTCTTTCCATTTGAGGGGATGCCAATTTTTAATTTATTATGTTTTTAAATATTTACATTATTTATTGAAAGTATTGAAAATTAATTTCTCTGCCTTTATTATTCTCAATCAGTTTAGAGGTGATTGGGAGCCAACTTTTTTGAGTACTGGATACCTGAAAATGAGAAGAAAATTACGACTCTTGGCTACCACTGTCACTCCCCCACCCACCACCAACTTAACTCTTGAATTACAAGAGATAGTTATTCTGGAGATTTTAAAACATTGTAAAAAAAAAGACCTTCATCTGACTTCTTTTTGCCTGCCTGGATCTTGATATTTAGCTTTATCAAATTTATATTGCATCACATTCTAGTATATTCAAATAGGAAAGTGAAGGAAAAGGAATATGACATCCAAGAAAACTAGAGGCAGGAACCATAAGAAGATAAAGCTTAGGAGCACATGCTAAGGACCCTGTGGTGGTAGGTATGAAGTACAAGTGAAGTCTTAGCGGTAATCTAATCTAACCCCCTCTCTAATACATAGATTCCCACACACTAAAAATAGATTATCTTCCTTCCCTGAAACACACACACACATACACAAACACACACATAATGAAATGCCCATCCTTTCTCCAGGTCAGAGTAGGTGTGGAGATGAGTTCCACAGAGAACCAGCAGCCTAGAAGTCAGAACGCAATGGGAACAGAGTTGGTGAAATGCTGGTATGGAGGGTGCTGTCAAAAGATTTGGACTATCCCAGTTAGCCAAGTAGCTTTGCTGTTGTTGTTGTTCTCCCCTCCACTCTATGTCTGTAGTGCAAGAGTCAACTCATGTTACTGAGTCAGTAAGCTAGAACTCCTTTGTAGAAATGAGAGAAAATTGCTTCTCTAAGGGCAAATTTATAAAACGTATTAAACATTAGTGGGAAAATCTAATTTACAATTGATTCAACTCTGGTAACTGGGTTATTTTTTTTCCCAGCCCAAAACCAGGATCTGAAGCTTGAAGTCACCAACTTGATTCTGAAGCATCAACAGGAGATAGAGAGCCTTCAAAAGAAAAACACAATTTCCCAGTCTCCTGGAGGGCAATCAGAACCAGCCACTCACCCAACTCTATTCCAAGAGGCTGCTCAGATAGAGGTAAGAGCCTCTTTAAACAAACAAGTCCACTCTATAGAGGGATCTCTGGAAAATATTCCTGGAAAAGATACTGAGTAATATTTTGACCAGAATGAGGACAATATTTGGAAGGATCTGAGAAGGCTGAGAGTAGAGATAGCTTCATGAGCTCCATCCTTTTTTTCCACCCTTTACAGCTCATATAATTTAGAATCTTTTTTCAGATGAGGACTTGAAATGATCTGCTGAAGAGCCAGCAGCCCATTAGAACATTATATACCCTTCCTTCAGTGCTGCTGCTGGACATGAAGAACTAGGGAAGAGAGCACTTGTGAACTAATACAAGTCCTCGTTTACATTTTGGAGTAAATTCTGCTTCTGGCATTTTATCTACTAAACTTCTTTATGGAGAATAGTTATTACTGTATCTATCATATTTATACTCCCTTTTACCAATGCTTTTCCCACTGTAGCCCTATGAATCAAGAAACCAAGAAGAACAGAAACTGTCCCAGATGTTAAGCGAATTGCAAGCATCACATGCAGAGACCACGTTGGAACTAGACAAGACCAGAGACATGCTTCTTCTGCAGAGCAAAATCAACGAGTGTTATAAGGTGCAAAAAACATGGTATAGGAAGGGGATAGATAAATGGGCACGTGGGCACCACTTACAAGACTGGGAATGAAGCAAGGCCTGAGTTTCCAGGGCTGATACAAGGTGATCTGCTGTCCTGTACAAACACAGAAGGTGTTGTTCTTTGAAGAACTTGAGGACTCGCACATGCCTATGGCACCTTGGCAATAGAAGCAATAAAGGGGCCAGCTAATGAAAATGGTGGGTGTGGAGCTTCTGCTTCACTTTTTGCCAGTCCCATAGTACCCTATGGCACTAATAGCACTACTGGTCTTGGAGGGGTCAGTGAGGAACCCGAGCTTTTCTAGTGGATGAATCTGCCCTGCTAAAGAGATAGCAGAGTCTCCTTTACCCAGCAATACTACTTTTTATCTGGGCTCTTTAGGTCTGGGCCACTGAGATAGAAAATCTCAGACATTATTTTGTTTCAGGAGGAACTGGAGGCATTGATGACAAAAGCTGATAATGAAAAGAAAGATAACAAAGAGAAACTGGAGAGGTTGAATCAACTTCTAGACCTCAAGAACAATCGTATCAAGCAGCTGGAAGGTATTTTAAGAAGCCATGGCCTTCCAACATCTGGCAAGTCTTAGCACTTTGTTATCCTCATCTTGGGACTCTTCACACAGCTAACGCATATATTCCTCTTTGTGTGCCCATTTAAGGACTACCTCTTATGACCTTGGCATGTGACTTATTCCTCCTATTCTTCTTGGTCCTATCATTTTTGTTGTTTTAATATGCAGCTTAGCAACTTCTCTTCTTCCATCATGTCAATGTGTTTCTCTGGTTTCTATGGAGAGTTTCACTAGGGATAAGCAACTGCTTCAGTGAGTTGATTCTGTTTTGAAAATGTGTGTCAGTGTCAGCCCTTGAGTGATGTAATACACTCTCTTGAGATTGTTTCCTCAACCCAGACCTATAAAGCAGTTTTTGTAGATAATAGAGCTTCATCACTCTTCTTCCATCATCCTTTTCTGTGGTATCTCTGTAAAAGTTTCTAAAATTTAGTTGCAGTTTGAGGATGATGACAGTGGCAGAGGAGATGGCTGGACGTTTATGAAGATTTCATACTGTGGTATTTCCTATTTAGTACAGGCATTGCTGACCAGGGTCTGGTCTCAGCCTTTTACATCAAAAAACTTCACTGTGTTATACCCAGCAGGGAGAGACATGACTAACACTAACCAAACTCACCAGAGACAGATATTTAATTCCAAATTTTCATTTATCATTTTATAATAGTAGCTGTTCCATTGCTGTCATTAGACTACTTGAAACCACTACTCAGGACATTCCCTCTAGAAAGCAGAATCAGATTTTTTAGTGAGCGTGGAACTAGAATAAAGGGAGGTGGATCATTTTGGAGCATGGTTTATCTATGCCAGGGTGAATATGATAAAAGGCCACTACCATAAAACAAAGGAAACTCATCCTTGGATTGAAATTCTCATGTCATTCAAATTCAGGGTCTTTCTCCAAGGACAGTACAGAATAAATATCGTTTCTACTTCTGAAGATTCATTTGTTTTAACTTATATTTCTTTGGTTACTGGTAAAGCTAAAGAGTTTTTCATATGTTTATCAGTTATTTGTATTATTATTTTTTTTTTTTTTGAGAATTACCTATTCCTGTCCTTTGTCTATTTCTTAATAGTATTTTACTGATTTGTAGAAGTTCTTGAATAGATATCTTGTCATCTTTCATGATATCAGGGAAGTTTTGTGCCAACAAATCTTCAGCAATTCTCTCTGTATTTTCTCTTATCCGCCCCCACCCTGTTCTGGTACTCCAATTACTCGTAGATTATTCCTCTTGAAAGAATACCACATAATTTTTAGGGTTTCTTCATTTTCTAAAATCCTTTTATCTGATTTTTCCTCAAATAAGTTGGTGTCAAGTGCTTTATCTTCAATCTCACTAATTCTGACTTCCATTGCCTCAGTTCTGCTCTTATGACTTTCTACTGAGTTGTCTAATTCTGGAATTTTATTGTTAATCTTCTGGATTTCTGATTGCTCTCTCTCTATGGATTCTTGCAGCCTGTTAAATTTGTCATTATGCTCTTCTCTAATCTTTTTAATTTCCTCTATTGTGTGTTTTGAGTTTTGCTTAATTTCTTTCCTAATTTCTTGAAGAGTTCTGTATATTAATCTTTTGTATTGTGCCTCTGGTAATTCCAAGAAATTTTCCTCCTCTGGAAAATTTCTAGATTCTGTGTTTTGGGAGCTTGCTGAAGCCATCATGGATCGCCTTTTTACGTGATTTTTATTGACTGTTGTCTCTGAGCCATCAATAAGTTATTGTATTTATTTCTTTTATGTTTGCTTACTGTGTCCTAGCTTCTTGTTTTGTTTTGATATGCCCAAATAGGCTGCTCATATGAGCTAGTTTGATTATTGGCATCTTTGAAGCTCTAATGTCCTGCCACCAGGTGGTTAGATCTGTTACTAGTTATGTGAGATCAGGAGTCCACCCACTCCTCCTGTATGGATTCAGCTCAGGTGCCTAGGTAGATAGCCACCAAGTGTGTGGTGTAGGCTCTCACTTACAGTCCTAGACAGGCGTGGGTGATTGGTGTAGGCATAGGCATCTGGCTGCAGCAGGAGGACACACTCTTAGCAAGGCAGGGGGCTGACAGCTGCCCCCGAGTGTCCAGGAGGAAGGCATGTCCCTGTTCCCTAGAGTGTGTAGGTGTGTTCGTTTTGCAGCCAGACTATTAGCACCTAATGCTGTTGGCTGTAAGGACTGGGGGGCACCTCTTATTCTTGGGCACCTGTAGCAGATGGCTAGGTGGCGTGGGTGCAGCCATCAGTCCTCAGGCCCCTGGTGTGGGTGGGTGAAGACCCTGCTTAATGGGCAGAGCAGTGTCAAATGTCAAGAAACTGCCACTTCACAGCTGAAACAGTTGAAGTTAGACTTCAGGTATATACCCTGTTGTACTGCAGTAATGAGGGCCTACGCTGCTGAGATGGGCCCACACAAGTCTCTGCAGGGGGAAAGGCACTCAAAGTCTGTGGATCCCTTATGCCTGTGCCTAGGCAAAGGAGCTGTGCCTACCCTGGGTTCCTGGCTTAGGGGAGCTTGCAGTTTATTTTTTCCTCTGTTCATTAATTTGTTCACTCTCCAAGGCTGGGAAAATGGCTCAGGGCATGTGATGGATCCTACTTCCAGCCCAGGGGACTCAGCAATTGCTAAAGCTGGCCCAGGACGCAGTGTGGAGCAGGGAGGGGGGAGGTAAACGGGAGAGAGGTTTTTCCCTAAGGGGGGGGGTGTTTTTGATCCATGTGGTAGGCCATACGCAAGTACTTATCTTTCGCCAGTGAGGGCTGCTTCTCACTGGTTCTGGGTGGCTGCGTAGACTCTCTGGTGCTGGGTCTCTCCTGGTGCAGAAAACGCACCTCCCGAGCACTGCCATTTACCTGTCTCACTGCTCACCCCCTGAGCTGATCAGGCCTAAACGGCTCAGGCTCTCGCCAGGTCAGGTCTGGCAACTCCTCACTGCTTCAGAACGGTCTCTCCCTCCCCCTGCCGCTCAGTCCAGTTCCTCAACTCTACCTTTGATGTTCAGGGCTCCCAGATTGCCATATATAATCAAATCACTTGTTTTTTCTGGTCTTTGTTGTAAGCGGGTCCACCAGAAGCATCTGACTACTCTGCCATCTTGGCCCCGCCTCTGATTTGTAGAAGTTCTTTATGTGCTAAGATTATTAACCCTGTGTCATGTAATACAAAGTTTAAATATATTTTCTTTAGTTGTATTAATCTTATCAATCAAAAAGCCATTAGTTAATCTCTTCATTATTTTGGACATGAAGACGTTCTTATGTATCTAGAATATTTTTATTTTACTGCTTTAACTCTTAAAACAGGACCTTCACTGTCAAAACACTGTGGCAACTCTAACACCCTGCAATTTTAAGCAAACTATATATCGAAGTTTCTGAATGGTTGGACATGGAAGGTAATGCCCAGTTCGATAGATGATCTACGTATCTTTTCATCCCATTGCCAGTATTTTCAACCTCTTTCTAGTAAGTCTCCCCACCCCACTTCTTACTCCGTGAGTCTTTGACTTAGTATGGATTTTTTGCCTTCTTACTATGAAGCAAAAGTATTAACAGAATGAAGACTCTTCTGATCTGGCTGGAGAAGGGGAAGCATTTCTTGGGAGGACTCAATGTAATAGACACTGTGGCTATAACTTGCTATTCTCTCCATAGCCAATATCCCAGACTTATTCTCTTTATTGGAAATATTTATGGTGCTTCTGGTGCTTCGGTAAGGGAATTACCAATTAATGGGATCTTGCTGTAAACCCAAACAATGTCATCTATATGGTGAAATTGTGCTTCCAGTGTTTTCCTGAGCTTAGCATTTGCTTTCCGATCCACTCATTTTGTTCCTTCTGTCTAAAGGAAACATTGAATTATTTAGTTATCAGAATTCAAATTTCCTTGTGTCATTCGATTGCTTTTCCTTTTGAATCACATAGTTTCTTCAAATAATCACAAATTAGAATTTTACCATTATTTTAGTCTCTTTCTATCCACACTCCATTACACTAGGGAAGACCACTGTACCATTTAATGGATAGGCAGTTTTCTTTCTCCTCTAGAACAGCTCAAAGATGTGGCTTATGGCACCCAACAATTGTCGTTATGTCTGGAAACATTACCAGCCAATAGTGATGAGGATAAAGTAGACATTTCTCTGCTGCATCAAAGTGAAAATCTTTTTGAACTGCACCTCCACCAAGCCTTCCTGACATCTGCTGCCCTGGCTCAGGCTGGAGATACCCAACCTACTACTTTTTGCACGTATTCCTTCTATGATTTTGAAACTCACTGTACCCCACTAGCTGTGGGGCCACAGCCCCACTATGACTTCACGTCCCAGTACGTGGTGGAGATAGACTCCCTTTTCTTGCACTACCTTCAAGGGGCTTCAGCCCGGCTTGATCTTCACCAGGCTGTGGCCAGTGAGCACCACACCCTTGCAGCCAGTTGGATTTGCTTTGACAGGGTTCTGGACACTGTGGAGAGAGTCCATGGCTCTACCACACTTACTGGTAAGTGCTGTTTGCTTCCAGCAGCTTCTAGGACTAAAGCAGAATTTCCCAAAGCCTCTGCCTTTATTCTTGATCCTTGCCATGCCATCTATATCCTCCATGCCTTTCATACTTTCTGCTACCCAGGAGCTGGTGGAGAAGACTTTGGAGTGTTAGAGTATTGGATGAGGCTTCGCTTCCCTATAAGATGCAGCCTACAGGCAGGCAGTAAACGAAAGAAAGCCCAGACCTACCTGTCAGCTAATGTGCTTGGAGCCTGGGAGGCCCAGAAGGATGAGGAGGTGAGAAAAAGGATGAACTCATGCATCTCAAAGGATCCTCAACCATGCAGCTCATAAGAATAGCTCAGTCCTCCACTCTCAATAAGCATTTGTTGAATGAGAATGAAAGAGAATAACTGTCATGTCACAACTAGTCCAGATTCTTTCCTTGGTCAAGCTTAAGTTTGAGATGAAATCATGTCCTTGGGGCTAGCTACCTTTCCTTGCTCTGGGGGAAAAAAAAAAATTCTTTGTTCCATTCTCTAAGAGTAAGGCATGAGTACTAGCATCTCCCTCAGGTAACCATCCGCCAGAGCCAGCTTCCAGGCAGGTGAAGGTCATTAAGTTTCTCTATACCCCTTAGTCAGTATACAGCAATTCTCCAGGTTGTAGCTCTTCCTCACCAAGAGTGCTGAGCTCCACCCAGAACAACTCTCTCTTCCTCAACCCAAGACCAACATCTTTCCAGTCCAGATCAGAGGCTTGGAAGCATCAGAATGAGCTGTGGGTGGAGATCATCAGGTGTTGTGGCCTCCGGAGTCAACGGCTGGGAACTCAACCCAGTCCATATGCCATGTACCGCTTCTTCACCTTTGCTGACCATGACACTGCCATCGTTCCAGCCAGTAACAATCCCTACTTTAAAGACCAGGCTCGATTTCCAGTGCTTGTGACCTCTGACCTGAATCAGTATCTGAGGCGGGAAGACCTACTTGTGTATGTGTTTGATGATGAAGACTCAGAGCCTGGCTCGTACCTTGGCCAAGTCCAAGTGCCCTTGCTGCCTCTTGCACAAAACAAATCTATTAAAGGTGGGAATTCAAGATATATTCCTATGCTGTCTGCTCAGTGTTGTTCCCCTGTCCTAAGTCTACCTTTCTCTGATTACTTGCTTGGAACAGTCTATCTTAAAGCCTACTGAAATGATTTTAGAATACTATCAAGAGCAGCAAAACAGAAAACTTAGAGCCTCACTCCTTATATGGAAACAGTAGCTTCTGCTTCTTTTCAGCAACAAAAACAAGATTCTTAAATTGGTAGAACCACCAACCTGAATTTCACACCCTCTATCTCTGAACAGACTTTTTTAAACTCTCTAGTTCTTTTCAGTATTTGTCTTTACTTAAGGCCAGTTGCTTTTTTAGTACATGACTAAATATCTGAGCATAAGCTGTGACTTTAACATTCCCCCTTTAATATGTTCTCTGGATTCTTTTAAACTTCAGATACTAGTTAGAGAAACTTCCATGCCAGGTCATGACAAAGGCAAATTTCTTGGGATGTTTTAATACTACCTTCCTTACTTTCACACCCAAACTTTGTAGGTACACCTAGGAGGGTTTGACCCTCTGGCCACAGCCATGGGAGGATGAGGCAGGAGTACCCATGCTCTAACTGGGAAGTATGCATGGGTACAGCTGGTACCAACCATATTTAACAAGCTTCTGGATGTTTATGAATTGAGTGAGGCCTCCCTCCTCCCGATACCATAACTGCTAAAAAATGGGTGATGCTTCTGCCCACAACTCCTCCTTTGCAAAAGAGGAGAGGCAGTGTGAACCATCTGTTATAATTTGGAAGCCTGACGTTGGACAATTTGGCATTTGCTTAAGTTTTCTGGATTTTGTTAATTTAGAAATAGGGACTACTTGAGTGTAGACAATGGTTTTCTTGGTATGACTAAGGCATAGTAAGCATTTTGTAATAGTAATGCAGTCTTGCTTATTGGCGGGGTGACTGTTAACAAGCAAGCTGTATTCCTCTCTATACGTCTTTTGACTATCTCTTCCTGAAACCTGGAAATACTCACCTTCCCCTATAAACATTCTAAACACACTGTAATTTTATGTTACCTATGAGTGTATTAGCATCATGATTATTTGATTGATGTTAGTCAATTACTAAGGAGCCCTGGTGGCATAAAGGCTAAGTGCTTGGCTGTTAACTGAAAAGTTGGCAGTTTGAACTTACCCAGCAGCTCTGCAGGAGAAAGACCTGGAGATCTACTTCTGTAAAGATTACAGCCAAGAACACCGTATGGAGCAGTTCTACTCTGAGACCTAGGGTTGCTGTGAGTTGGAATTGACTTGATGGCACCCAGCAACAGCAACAATCAGTTACTAACAAAACATCATGAAATTCAAAACTGGAGGAATAAGTGAGGTGCTGGTAAATGGTAGTTTGTCTGTTTTATGTGATCAGATCTTATTAATGTCTGTGTATCTCTCAGGTGATTTTAACCTCACTGACTCTGAGGGGAAACCCAATGGATCTATTCAGATGAAACTGAATTGGAAGTCTCACTACCTGCCCCCTGAAAACTTCCTGAAACCAGAAGCTCATACTGAGGAGAATGACATCAAGGACAGTTTAGACACCTTATCTGAAGAGGAAATGGCTTCCTTTCCTCCCCAGGTAGCATATCTTCACCAATCCTATGGAGCGGATTTGAGGGAAACAGTATTAAAATTATAGTGAAAGAAGTTCCTTCTCTGAATGTGATGTGTGTTCTGTGAATTTAATCTGCATCCCTCATAATGCCATGAGGCTATTGATGGAGCAAAGCCCTGGGTTTTATTTTGGGAAGTAGAGAGAGATGGCATCTCTCAACTCTGTGGGAGGAGAGGAATGATGTCTAATGCTAGTTCACAAATCCTTTTCTTGAGTATCAAGGTTAAACTATCATCTTATAAGACTGTCTCTGATCCTTCTACTTAGGACCAGATGGCATCTGTTGAGATTCCCATTGAAGCTGGCCAGTATCACATACAGAGAAAACCTCCTCAGATGGGAGAAAGAAAGGAAAAGCAACACCAGATTGAGAGCTACTCAAGACGAAAACATGGCAAAAGAGCAGGCATCCAAGGAAAGAACAGAATGGAGTACCTTAGTCGTAGCATCTTTAGTGGAAGTGTACTACAGGTAAAACCATAGAAACCCTGAAGAGCTAAAATGTGGGTTGCAGTGTCCCTGAATGTATTATTCTCAAGATAGATGCAGAAGCAGATGCACAAGAGAAACGATAGGCATGACTATTTGTGATTAGCGTGTGTTTTCACAACCACAAGTAGTTTAATAAAACCTGGACTGTTCATTTCCATTTCATATCATTCAGCAGATTATGTATTCTCCAGTTTATGCTAGAACTTTAGTACCACTGTCCTAACTAGTCACTTCAACTCTAAGTGGAAGTAATTAAGGAATCGTATTTATTGTGCACCTACTCTGTGCTGGATACTACCATTTCTGCATAGAGAACTAGATTAAAGTCACTATGTAGCACCTAAACTCCACCCTACCATCACTTACCAACGTTTTTTTGAAATTATTTTCTAATTGGAACATGCATTAACCTTGTATTTATTTAAAAACAAATATTAAGTTAAAAATAGCTAATGTTAAAAAAGAAAAAAGGAGAGAGAAAGAAAGAGAGGGAGAAAAAGAAAACCAAGATATTACCAACAACAGTATTGTTGTCTTACTCTGAAGCAGATGAACTACACTGAGTGGAAATTCTCGGGGCTTAAAGTCTCCATGGATGATGATTTAAAAACAAATCAGCAAAAGGAAGAGGCTATGACATCAGCCTGCTCAGTATTGAAAGAGAAGGAACATCCTGTAAATGGTATTGTCTATTTGAAATCTCATTCTCCTATTTGATTATCAAATTATTTTATCAGGCCAATTGTTTGCTTTCTTCCTTCATCTTGCACTACTAAACTTTTCATGGAAAATTAATACTTAAGAAGACCATAGGCTCAGTTTTATGTTGCAAGTGTGATGGTTATGCCAACAAGGCTGGAATGCTCAAAGAAAGTAACTTTCTATATACTTATATCTAGCTTACTAGGTAGTTTAGTTACATTGTATCTATAAAATGTTAACTTGCTCCAAGGTCTTGTGAATTATGGTTACAAAGAAATAGGAGGAGTGTGATTGGCTCATTTGTGATGTTAATCCAAATTTTTCTTAAATTAAGGTAAAATTTTGTGTTATATGAAAAGTAGACATAATTCCAGACCAACTCTCCATTGATGACAGCTAAAAAGCTAAAGTTAATACATTAAAATTAATCTTATAAATGCTTCTTAAAAGCATCAAAGAGCCAACAAGAGAGGGAGGAATTACCTAGCCTACATCAGAGAGATGATTGGAGATTTAGCCCTGGGACATTGTCCGTCTGGCAAAGGCAGTGGAGAGGTATAACCATGTTTGTGGTGGACTGTTGGGGTGATGACAGTCTGCGTCTGGTGTCTACCCAGGGTAGGAACCCTGGCAAATTGCCCATGCTCTTCTCTGCAATCCTGAAGGCAGCACCATTCTGAGCCCTTTTTCTCTGCAAGGTAGAACTCTACTTTGGGGACTCTTGCAAAGATACAGGGACAAGGGCTGACCTGATTCCCTCTAGGACTCCAGATAGTGGGAGTTATCAGATACAAACTATACAACAGCTGTGCTGACAAGGTTCATGTGGGTAAAAGCTGTGCTTTAAATTTTCAGCAAGGACAGGATATTATGGAAATTGATATCATAAGTTCAAAAATATGTTTTATTTTAAAATTATTGCAAACTTACATAAGTGATTAAAAAAACTTACATAAATGTTGCAAGAATAGGACAAAAAATTTCCATATATCCTTCACCCAAATTCACCAACTTTTAAGTTTTTGCCTTATCATTTTCATATTTTTTCTGAAGTATTTGTGAATAAGTTGCAAGCATCATGCCCCCTTACTACTATATGTTTCAGTATTTATTGTCCTAATAAAAAGGAAATTCTATTATGTAACCACAGTACAGTTATCAAATTTGCAAAATTTAACATAGATACATTATTATCTAATGTCCAGTCCATATTCAGATTTGCTAATTGTCCCAATAATGTCTATTATGGCAGATTTTTTTTGTTCATTTTTGCTTTTTCCTTAACCAGTCCAGGAACATGCATTGCGATTAGTCATGTCTCTTTAGTCTTCTTTAATCTGGAATAATTCCTCAGTTCTTCTCTGTCACTCATATGATATTGACACTTATGAAGAGTATAGGCCAGTTATTCCGTAGACTGTCTCTCAGTTTAGATTGGTCTGCTGTTTTTTCATGATTAGATTCAGGTTATGAATTTTTCACAGGACTACCACAGAAGTAATGTTACGTCCCTCTCACTGCATCACATTAGGAGGTATGTGATGTCAGTTTGTCCCATTATTGGTGATGTTAACTTTGATCATTTAGTTAGGAAGCATCTGTCAGGTTTTTCCACTGTAATGTTACCATTTTTCCCTTTATAATTTTTAAGTTCTCTATGAGAAGATATATGGAGACTTTACCAATATCTTGTTTCTCATCAAATTTTACCTGATAATTTTGGTATTCATTTTTTTTTATGAATCAAATATTACAGTAATGATTGCAAAAGTCACTGAAAATTTGGAATTGAATCAATAAAAATTATAGAAGTGCTAAATATAGGCATTTATCAGAGAGAAAGAGATGGGTTAGAAGGAGATTAAACACACTTGAAGGGAGAAATGAGGAAGATTCCAGAATGAAGCAAGGAGAGACAACAAGATGGAAAATACAAAAGAGAAAAAGAGACATAAAGGATACAATGAGAAGGTCTATGTCATATTTAATTAGATATAGGAGAGGAGAGAGAAGGGGCAGAGATGATATTTAAAATGATAATGACTTCAACTTTCTCAGAACTAATAAAGAATATTAAAATTCAATGAAATGAAACTCAAGCAGGGTAAGTAGAAATAAATCCAAATCAGACATATCAGAGTAGAAATGCAGGAAATAAAAGAAAAAACATTATAACTTGTACATAGCAACCCTATGTACAATAGAACGAAATACTGCCCAGTCCTGCACCATCCTCACAATCATTGTTATGCTTGAGCCCATTGTTACAGCCACTGTGTCAATCCAGCTTGTTGAGAGTCTTCTTTTTCACTGGCCCTCTACTTTATCAACCATGATGTCCTTCTCCAGGGACTGATCTCTCCCGATAACATGTCCAAAGTATGTGAGACGTGAGACGTAGTCTGGCCATCCATGCTTCTAAGGAACATTCTGGCTGTACTTCTTCCAAGACAGATTTGTTCGTTCTTCTGGTAGTCCATGGTATATTCAATATTCTTCACCAACATCATAATTCAAAGGCATCAATTCTTCTTCAGTCTTTCCTATTTTTCGTCCAGCTTTCACATGTATATGAGGCGAGTGAAAACACTCTGGCTTGGGTCAGGTGCACCTTAGTCTTCAAGGTGACCTCTTTGCTTTTTAACATTGTAAAGAGGTCTTGCAGCAGATTTACCCGATGTAATGCGTGGTTTGATTTCTTGACTGCTGCTTCCATGACTGTTGATTGTGGATCCAAGTAAAATGAAATCCTTGACAACTTCAACCTTTTCTCAGTTTATCGTGATGTAGCTCACTGGTCTAGTTTTGAGGATTTTTGTTTTCTTAATGTTGAGCTGTAATCCATAATGAAGGCTGTAGTCTTTGATCTTCAAATGGTTTGAATGATGGACCCCCAAAAGATATGTCTATGCCCTAATCCCCAGAACCAGTGAATGTGACATTATTTGTAAAAAGTGTCTTTGCAGATGTAGTTAAGGGTCTTGAGATGGACATCATCCTGGACTATCCAAGTGGGTCCTAAATCTGATGACAAGTATTCTTAGATACATAGAAAAGAGAAGGAGGCAATGTGACCATGAAGGCAAAAACTGGAGTGACGCAGCCACAAGCCATGAAATACCACAAGTTGGAACAGGCAAGGAATGAATTGTCCTAGCCTAGAGCCTTCCAAGGGAGCACAGCACTGCTGACACTTTGATTTCAGACTTTTGGCCACCAGAACTGTGAGAGAATAAATTCCTATTGTTTTAAGCCACCAAGTGTGTGGTAATTTGTTATGGCAGCCACGTTGTTGTTGTTATGTGCCGTCGAGTCAGTTCCAACTCATAGCGATGGCAGCTGTAGGAAACTAAAACAGATAATAACCAATATTTGGAAATTAAACAACACATTTCAAAATAATCTGTGAATCAAAGAAAAAATTCCAAGGATAATTTGAAAATATCTTGAGCTGAATTAAAATTAAAATACAACAATAAAGAGTGAAAGTCAATAACCTAAGCTTCTATCTGAAGAAGCTAGAAAAAGAAAGATTAGTGTTGACCTATTAGAAGTAAAGACAATGAATTACTAATTAAAAATCTTCTGACAACAGAAAGTCAGGCCCAGATGACTTTGTTGGTGAATCCTCTCAAGTATTTAAAGGAAATAATGCCAATCCTTTGCAAACTTTTTTAGAAAATAGGAGGGAAAACTTCCCAACTCATCCAACTATAAAGCTGTTGTGTGCTGTTGAGTGGATCCTGACTCATAGCAACCCTATAGGACAGAGTAGAACTGCCCCTATAGGGTTTCTAAGGCTTTGCGGAAGCAGACTTCTACATCTTTCTCCCGTGGAGTGGCTGGTGGGTTTAAACTGCTGACCTTTTGGCTAGCAGCCAAGCCCGTAACTACTGTGCCACCAGGGTTCCTATTATAAAGTCAATCAATTGCTGTCAAGTCAAATATAGTGACCCTATAGGACAGAGTAGAACTGCCCTATAGGGTTTCCAAGGCTGGAAATCTTTACAGAAGCAGACTGCTGCATCTTTCTCCCGTGGAGTGGCTGGTGGGTTCAAATCGCTAACCTCTTAGCAGCTGAGAGCTTAACCACTGCACCACCAGGGTTCTTATTATAAAGTTAGTATTACCTTAATACCAAAACAAACTAAAGACATTTTTTCAAAAAAACAAAAACAAAAAACAACTACAGACTTATATCCATCATAAACATAGGTGCAATATCCTGAACAAATATTAGCAAACTAAGTCCAGCAAAATACAAAACTATAAAACAGACTGCATACCTTGACCAAGTGGGATTTAGTCCAGAAATATGCTTATAGGTACCATGACACTTGTTATTTAGAGCAAAATAGTGTAAGCAACACAGATGCCCATCAAGTTTTTTACCAGTTGCCATTGAGCTGATTCTGACTCATGCACTCAGCTGCTAACTGAAAGGTTGGATGTTTGAGTCCACCCAGAGACTTCTTGGAAGAAAAGCCTGGTGATCTATTTCAGAAGAATCATCCATTGAAAACCCTATGGAGCACAGTTCTACTCTGGCACTCATAGGATCACCATCAGCAATAAAATAGATAAATAAATTATGGTTTATTCACATAATGAAATACTAATGTACCAACAAAAATGAAAAAAAATCTATAGTTATTTGCAATAGCTATAGTTTGGGGCCCTGAATGGTGCAGCTGGCACCACTTCTGCCTGTGGGCATTATGCTCCTATATAATAAAACGCAAGTTCCAGGGCTCCACTCAGCCAAGCAAGACCCTTATGAACAAGGTGACTCTTCCCAGTGGTCCTCAGTGGGATACCTGAGGAACAACGTCCAGTGGAAGCTTTTGATTGGACAGCTGAACTAGAGCTGGTGGATCCATTTTCAAGATGGCCCACTCTAATGTCTGGCAAATTGGTCCTGGCTGTCAACTGGGAGTTCAGCTGGGCCCTCTGTAGGTTGCTAGGGCTTCCTCACAGCTTGGTGGCTGGGTTCCAAGAAGAGGGTCCTAAAAGAATGAGGTGGAGGTGCATGGCATTTTTACATTCTAGCCTCGGAAGCCACTTAACATCACTTCCACCATACTCTTGGTTGAGGCGATCTCAAAGGTCCACCTCAGTTTAAGGGCAGGGCACACAGACCCTACTACTTAATGGGGGGAGTTTCAAGGTCACACTAAGAAGAGCATGTGAGATGAGAGATATTGTTTGAGGCCATCTTTGGGAAATACAATCTGCCACACTCTGGTTATACTGCTTTTTCTTGGCTTGGTTATTTTCTCTAGCCCCTGCAAAAGAATGATCTCCCTTTCCTTCCTTCTTCCCTCCCTTTTCTTTCTTTCTCTCTCTTGCTCTCTTTCCTTCCTTCCTTTCTTTTCAGAAATGAAACCTGTGTATTTGGCAAATTTCCAAATAATTGAATCTTTGAAAAAGAGGTCTTGATTCTGAGTAAATGCAGCCAAAATCTAGATATGCTTAACTAGTAACCAGATAATGGGTTGGCCATACGGGTACTATGTCTTTTCTTGGGTTGGACAGGGTGCTCTGAAACAGTTATGTAACTCCAGCTTCTTCTCTAGCAGGTAAAGAATCCTGTGAAGAAGCTTCTGAAGTCAGTGAAACACTAACTACAGATAGCGATGACGTCATAGTGACGCCCATATTTCAAAAATATCCTAAGGCAGTAAGTAGTATATTGTAAGCAATTACAGTTAATGTGCTTAATAACTAACCTATGTGAAGTTCAAATCCAATTTTAATGAACTTGATGGGAAATTCAAGTTATTTAGTTAAATTTACATTAAGTGTGAATAGAAGTCTATTGATACAGTAGGGTTAAAGGATCATTTTCTTCATTTGGTGTCAATGAGGACTTGCTTCAACTCTTCTGTCTGCCTATTTGGGTCCCTTGCCAACCTCCTCTTGTTCCCATACCCTTCATTGTGTTCTGTGTTTCATCCCAAGTCTGAATGATGGCCCTTTACATCCACCTAAGGAGAGCAGGTTTACACTTGGAAGTGGAGGCTGAAAGAGAGGAAAGGACTGCGTGGGAGGGCACAAAGAGATCAGTTTCTGTAGTTTTTGACTCAACTTTTAAAGCTATAAAACCTTTAATTACAATTGTTTATTAAAAATTTTAGCCTCAAATCTCTTTTGGAACTAATGAATAGATAGGTAGGTAGACAGATAGATGGATGTAGATGTAGATATAGATATATATGAATAGATATCCATAGATGTATCAACAATTTTCAGCAATCATTGTTGGGGTTACAAATGAGGTAGAAAACATAATCACTTTTCTTGAGCCACTAGAATGCTACCTAGGTTCTCAAAAAACGTTTGTTGGATGAGGGGCTGAATGAAAGATTAAAATCGAATTTGAGGATTATGAACCTCATGGGAAACAATAGAAAATAATAATACAAGATGACCCAAAATCAAGTGGCTAGATTATGTGACGTAAATTCTAGGTTTGTAAGGTTTGTTGCTTTTGTAGAGGTCAGAAAAACCTTCCTTGGAAGTCAGAACTTGTGCTGAGGACTTGCAGGAAAATGAAGAATATTAGAGTGGGGAGAAACAACTCAAAGTCAGTAGACTTAACATTTAATATGACAAATATTTAAGTCTATCTTCTGAAATTTTGTCTATCTTATCTTTTTTCAGACAGTATATAATTAATATCTTGGCAAATATTTAGAAGGCAGTTTAGAACCACAGAATGTTAGAATTAGGCAACCCCTTGAATATTATCATAAAGGTGAAGAAGATTAAATGATGTGTCCCGGATTATAGAGCTAGTTAGTGACAGAGCTAGAACTCCAGTCAAGGTTTCTAAATCATGCAACTTCTCAGATCAACCCAAAAAGCAGCCAACTGATCAGCAAAATTTTGAACTATAACAGGTCAGTCAGATTACATTAAAAATATTATCCTAACATCTAGCTCAACTGGCATGACACAGCTTATAAAGACAATGCTCTACATTCTACCTTGGTGAGTAGTGTCTGGGGTCTTAAAAGCCTGTGAGCGGTCATCTAAGATACTCCACTGGTCTCATACCTTCGGAAGCAAGGGAGAATGAAGAGAACAGGATACAAGGACAGATTAGTCCGAAGGACTAATTGTCCACAGCTACCAAGGCCTCTACCAGACTGAGTCCAGTACAGCTAGACGGTGCCTGGCTACCACCACTGACTGCTCTGACCAGGATTACAACAGAGGGTTCTGGACAGAGCTGGAGACGGATGTAGAACATAATTCTAACTCACAAAAAAAAGACCAGATTTACTGGCCTAAAG